ATACCCAATAAGGAATATATATTTTTTCTTCATCTGCAATGAACTCTAATACACCACAATGTGTTTGTCTGTTCGTTCTGTTATTGGTGAGCTTGAACAACATCGGGTAGTTGATATTTAACCGGGTCAATATATCCAGAGCAGATGGGGGCATTATAACTGAAATYATAGCGTTAGGTATAATAATAGTATAATATAAAAAAATAGAATAGTGATTTACTTTTTCCACCACGTTCAACATCTTCTCGTTCACTTCCAGGAAGCATTGACACCGACCAGCATCTGTATGTCGTGTTGAATGGCCGAAGTATATCATTGAATAAACTCAAGGAAAACTGAAATATATTTAAAATAGTTCAGAGCTCATACTRTGACGGGAAGTTAACAGTTTCCTTACCATTGTATTTTCAGTTGATTATGAATTATTGTCAATTATTATATTAAAATTATAGAATGTTTCAAACACAGCCAAACATCAGTATGAACAATTATTACCATGTGAAAATGTGAAATGTTATTGTGATACACTACGTATGGTTACAATACAAATTGTAAAGCAGTCACAAAATGATAGTCACCACGGTTATCTGAATAATTAAATAAATAGTATATTATATCTGTATTTTATGAATAATCATATCAAATCCATAACTTTACTTAAATATAACCTTACCCATACAATTTTTTGTATTATGCGCTCAGCGGTCTAGAGATGGTGTAAAAATATGTACCTATATAAAACAAATATTATACATTTACATATCAAATAACATTATCACTCTACTAAAATGTTAAATTGTWATATAATTATCGTATTTCAATGCAAAATATAAACCACCGATATTAAACATATGGATACGATATTCCAATTTTCATTACATACGCTTTTGGACGAATATAACGAAGAAGAGAAACGATGATTTTCAGTTTTCACTTATAGCTTCTTTAAGCTTTTGAGAGATAAAGAAACGAACAATGAACACCGACAAGAGTGAATCGAGGTGCAATGACGCTGTGGTTAACAATGATATCAGTTGTGTTGGCCAACAAATTTCTATATATTAGTCACATCCAATAGTTTAATATTGATGGTGCAAACACTTCAAAGTTCAAATCATTGTATAAATAAAATAATACCTAGAAAGTTTATTATATTATATTATTATTTATTATATAAATTTGTAATCGTACGTTTTCTCATTAATTAAATTTAGGCCACTCATTCGTGTGGATGCTGGACGCCTGGAACCACTACCATGTTCCTTCAATTATGCCATTATAGCTGGTATAGTGTACATAATGATATTGTGTACGACGATAACAGATAAGTGATAAATTGATAACGTAAAAACGTGATAATCATTAATTTGGTGCCTTGGTGGTTTTTAAAACGAACTGGCATCAAAAAATTTCATCTCTTGTTTTGTTGTTGCTTAATCATCATGTTAATGTGACAAACAAAAAAAAAAAAAAATGAAAACACCTTATGGATACTGTGACTTACGCGTCGAGAGGGTGAACGATGACATTATCGATGCTTACATTGAACGTGAGTAACAATTTTTTTTTCTATTCAGCCCAAGCAGAAGCCATGATATACATATAGGTTTATGATTATGATAGTGTTAATAAATATAATATCTGTCTGTTTTGCAGGCATGACTTATATTTTTCAAGCGTATTTTTTGACTGCAATATATTAATAAGACTATGTCAGTGTAACCAGGCCCGTTCAGAGATATTATTGTGCAAGGATCCCTTTTTTTATTTAGATTTTATTTCAGGATATTAAATCTTCATATTTAAAGAACGTGATTGGAACTATCGTTGTTGTTACTCTTACGATTTATTTAAGGTAGCTTTCCATAAATAATAATATATTTTACATGTCAACCAAAATTGTACTATATGATCATTATCATAATAGTATAAATTAATAATTCTTTCAATAAAATTCTGAAAATAATAAAGTTTGATAAGTTTGAATTCATAAATAATTTATTTATAGCTTTTATATCCAGTACCCTTTTGATTTTCATTGACAATAACTGTTTTTTCGGAAAAATAACATTTACTTAAATTTGCCAAAATTAAACAAAAACCCAAAACCCAAACTAACCATTTCAAAAGTAGTTTTTCTAGTTTTGAAGTAATAAAATATGATTATAAATTTAAAACTATTAGGAACACGGAAAGTATTAGGCCGGCCGTATGGGAATGCGAGCGGCGCGGCGCGGTGGGTCACATGTTTGATAACATTACGGTGTTAAATAATTCACAATTTTTCTCAAAACTAAAAAAAAAATTAAAAATCAGGAAATTAATGAGAATAAAATTTTGAAACGTCAATATTTTCAGAAAAATAAGCTCTACAAAATTGCTATGATCAATTTTTTTGGAAATAATTAAGTAAAAAAATATATTTTTTAATTTTTTTTACCAAAACATTAAATTAAATAAATTAAAATATGAAATAATTGAAGTTCTTATCCCTGTAAGTCTTATTAGTTATTACAAAACCAGAAATTCGATATCACCATTATTTTGGGAGATATGCAATGGGTAAATCCTCATGGCTCATGGGATACTCTGTATAATATATATTATTAATTGGGCTATTTTTAAATGATTAATAAGCAAATAAACGCCAAATTTTGGACAAATAGCTAAATTATTTTAAGGCAAAGTGTATGGCTAAGGCTTATAGATTCAAACAATATTTTACATTAATTTTTTTAATATAATTGAAAATCTATAAAACTAATTTTCAATAAGATTTCCTGAATTATATATACAAGTGAAAAAAATAAAGTTTTTTTAAAACCCTTTTTCAGTTGACATTCTCATTGTTGAATCTAATTTACAGATGGAAGTCATAGAATTGCAAAACAACAATGTTTTAAAAAAAAGTAATAAATTAAAAATATTTTATTCAAGTCATTTTGAAACAGATTTTAAATGCATTAAAAGTTATGCTGAAAAAATGATAACTGATTCCGATAGAACTTATATAAATTGTAAGCAGTCATTTTAATTAGGTACCTTCCTACTTAAATTTAAAAAAAAAAATATTGTTCATGATTAAGCGACAAACGGGTTCCTAAAAGTAAATACAGTTTTATGAATATCAAAATCCATTATGAAAGCATATATAAACAAATTAGAGGGAAAAATTAATCATCAAAAATCACAATAGAAACTAAATTTCCTCTTGCACTTAAGAGTGAATTAGTTATTATTTTTAAATTTTTCTTCTACCTAATGAATTTGATTCAATATTAATTAAGGACAATCTCATAATGTGAAACTCATGATATAATTGGTGCTATCCATAAATATAATACAATATAACATATTATGCTACATACTGTTTGTTTTAATTTGTCTGTGGCTCTCAATGAAAAACTGATAAAAAATATGGCCCACATCAGTAAAAATGTTGCTGTCCCCTGGTTTAGAAAATAGACTGAAACTGTTATTTCAGAGGTAGCTTAACCGCTATATAAATAATATTAAAATCATAATTGCATATTAATTTATTTCTGCTCGAAATTTGTTACACAAATTAGAAATACTTATTAGTTAGTAATAGATAGCAGATCTTTAGGTTTTGACATATTTTAACTAGCTTTATGCAACTTTCTGAGGATAAAAAATGTGAATGATTTATCCGTCATAGAATTTTTAGGAATAAATTTATTTTGCATATTAAAACAAATTTTGGACATCAGAGAATATTTTGCTTCTTTTTCTTATTTTAGAATATATTTTATTATTGTTCTTAACAAATCGTATACTATGATAATTTCTCGCATTGTGATATTTTTTAGCTTTTTTAGATTCTGAGCAGAGCGAGGAATGTATTGATTTTACCACGATGTGTGTGTTTTTTTTTATGTGTCTGTCATCACGTTTTGGGGCAGTAAAAGCGCTTTGATTTTCGACTTCAGTACCTCATTCGATCAAAAAGTGAATCTAGTTGGTACTTGAAAGGGGGGGGGGTCAAAAGTAAAAAATTCTCAATATTATTCTAAATAATCGGAATAAACAAACTAAAAATTAAGAGAAAAACGGGAAATTTTACGCACAATCAGTTTTYGACAAAATCGATTTTDGTTTTTGATGTAACTTTAAAACAAATTACCATAGATACATGAAATTTTCACCGAATATAAGTATATTCCATCTACGATGCAAAAAATTTCAACTTAAGTTGAATTATTTATAGGCATATGCAATTTTTGACCATTATTAGTTTTTTTTAAATTAATATATCAATAAAAATTTATTTGTCGGGTTGAAAAGCTTGAAAATTTAATATAAGGCTCTTAATAAATTTGCACAATAGCAGTTAAAAAATAAAATAAATACAGTCATAATTTTTTTTTTTTACAAGAATTAAAATTTTAATTTTGACAACACCTAAAAATAACGAAAATTTGCAAATTATTTTAAGCTAGAAATTCATAAAAAATTTTCTTTTTAAATCTAAGATTTGAAAATCTCTAAAAATCTCTAATATATCCTAAACAGATAAACTGTCTCCACTTAGAATTGTTTTTTGTATACAACGATATAATATCATTGAATTCAAATTTAATTCCATTCATTATAGTAACCCACTTGTAAGTTACAAGTTGTCAACCTACTGTACAGCAGAGCAACATCCATGACTTATCCACTTTTTCTATAATTGAACTTCCATTCTATGACTAATAAAATCTTGACTAATATAATATACACTATCAACAGTGCCGCAACTAGAGATAAAAAGGCCCAGGTGCGAATCAAATTTTGGGGCCCCCTATTTCAAACTTTTGTTTTACAAAATTGAATAGCAGTAATAGCACCAAAATCGCAATTAAGGGTAGGTTTAAACCCCCTGGTAACAACAAAACCTCAAAAATAATAAAGACACTTCGTTTACCATCTTAGGGGACTAAACATGTTTATTGATAATGCCTATCCATAGTGCATACCAACTACCAAGTACAAATTTTAAAAAGCAAAACAATTTTTATCACTTGATTTTAAATAATTTTCCTTACAAAAACAGATCAAATAATTTATGCATAGGCCTCCATTGTAAACCTAAAACTATATGTGTTTTCATCTCAATCGATATGTTTTAATTTGTAAGTACAAATAAAACATTGCATTATGTACCTTAATAC